CGGGCTAGCGCCGGTGGGCGGGAGCGCCCGGCCCCGGGAGGAGCCCCGCGTCCTCCCAGGGCGCCAGGGAGCGACATCGAGCGCCGAGCCACGCCTTGCCGGGGTCCCTCCTGAGGGGAGATCCCGATGGCGTAAGATTTTGGGGGCTGCAGCACAATAAACGCTGCGTGTCGGCCTCAGGACTGAGGTGTCTGCAACCAGTTATACTGGCTTAACACAGCAGGAGTTGATCTGGTGAAATACACGGGAGAAAAAATAGCTGCTCTATGAGCTCCGGATTCAACAGGTACTACTTAGCAAGAGGCTGTTAAAACTTAGAGCTGAGGACTTTAAACCATCAGTTAATGGCTTGTAACATCCAATTTACACAACTGATTCCAAGAGCCGATCAAAATATTAAAAACTTGGCAAATTATTCAAATACACATTCAGGAAAGCCAAAAAATGTCTTGTGTGTATGCATCTTCCAGTCAACAGATAACAAGTTTCTTCTACGCTGCTTAATGTGAGAAGATGGTTAAGAACACTGATTAGAGAGTAATTTAAAAATATTTTGCCAATAGGCAGTACATCAATGGAGCAAAAAGAAAATCCCTCAAAGTATGCTGACTGCAAAATACCAAACTCCCATCTCCGCTCTGACTGCATTCCTCAGTGAAATACTCATCTTCCGTAACAGAATCATCTCTTCAACGAAACAGAGAGCTGAACAACCTTAGCCAGTAAGCAGTGAAGTCAGTTTTGAGACTCTTAATTAGGAGGGTATTTGGTGAAAAAAATATGTCAATACTAAAAACTCACACATTCAGATAACAAAATGGAGACAGACGATACAACAGACAAACACCAATATGAAGACAATTAAAAAATGGAGTAAGAGTGACCTAAGAGGTTGCTCAAGATCTATTCCATTCATAAAAAATAAACTCCCTGACAATTTATAGGCCCCTGTGATAGAACCCAAAATACCAGCTAACACCTTTTACAGTATACACCATCACCCCAGATCAACATCATTTGGTCTCAGCACACATATAAAAAAAAAAACCCACTAATGCCAATCATGTTCCTTCCTCTGAAAAAATGTCCTGGGACAAAGCAACTAATTAGCTCAGAAAAAAAATGGAGGCACCAATAGACACAAAAGCTTCCAACTTTTACAAGTCATTCTAGAAAAAGCAATAGAAGAGTACAAAAATCGATGCCATGAAACAATTCTAGGATGCAGACCATAAAATTAAGTTCACTCTTCTACCAGGGGAAAATGGCTACTTATATTGGACAATTGTTGTGCATGAAATAAGTTATCAAGCTAAGGAGTCCAGGGCAGCAGGGCTTAAAGGTGTCTTCCTTTATATATAGGTTAGCCAACAATTGGGAAAATGAGAAAGTGGATATTGAAACTCAGTCGTAATGCAAACTACATATTTGAATTAACAAAAGATAGAAACATAAATAAGTATTTGTGTTTATTGTTTTGAGCTAGGACTAACAATCATCTTTTATTTTGAAGATGGGATGTGAAATTTCTTTCTGAAACAATCAAGTTCAAACATTACAAAATCTTAAAAAAGGATTCACTTCCTCGGGTAAAGTATTTCAAAAATACTCCTGCATTTTCCATGTAACAAAGCTCTGATTAACAGAAGGGTAAGTCAACACCATAACATAGATTCTCATGACTACATCTGCCCACATTCAACAGTAGCCAGTATAAAAACTTAAAGCCTAAATTGACAACTAAAAATGTTACACCAAAATCATTGTTTTGACAGAACACAATAATCAGTGACCTCACTTTAATTTCTGATTTTCTGAACAAATTAGACTCTTTAGCTTAAAGAGTAAAAATCAATCCTGCCCCTTTTTTCCCCACTAGTTCCAAAGTTATTTCACACTATCATGACAGAGGTAATCTGCTTGATCAACTACATTACAGCAATACCCCTAAACTACAGGCATAACCAATGTCAAACACAACCTCATATCTTAAATTACCTTTAATTGTAAGGAGTTTTATCTAGACTTACCATATAAGCAATATCACACCAAGAGCCCTGGCTGCTGTTTTGGAAAGTAAGTACTGCTGTGTTACATTTGAAGGAGGACAGTTAGGGGTTTCTGTGAAAATCAGTCTCATAAAACAAGGGAATGAACTTAGTACCTCAAAAAGAGCACAGGAACAGTTTTGTTCAGATTAGCAACTGAATACATTTATAATTTCAGAACTTGTAAAAACCCATGAAGGAACTGTCACTTACTCTGTGTGGCCCTGAAAGACATTCACAGAATGGATAGAAGGATCTCTGAAATCCCACAGACGGAAGGTTGTATCGCGTGATGATGTCACCACAAGACGTTGGGTGGGATGTGTACAACAATGTGTTAGCTCTTGGTCATGCCCTACAATCACAGATGAGAACATGTAAGGTAATGAAAATAAGACTTTTCATTTCCACATACACTTGGAATGAAATGTTGATGATTTTTTCTTTTTTCCCCAAACAGTGTAAGAAAAATAATCATTCTGAACTCTCATGTTACTACTGCCCCAAGTGTTCAGAACTGTATTTAAAAGGCAAAAACCCCACTACTCACTTCACATGACTATTAAGTAGCAATAGGTTATTACTACTTAGTATGCCATGAACACAGGAAAAGCATTTTACAAGAAATTGGCTACATGCAGTTTGAAAACAAGTACTTCACAGGATATATCACAAGCTCAGAAGAACACAAATTCATGCTCAGAGGATTAACAAGACTGGAATTTTAGAAACCATTACAATTTTGAGCAGCAGCTCAAGTCTTGTACACACTCAAATTGTACTCCAGAGAAACAACTTACTTTTCCCAGTGTTTGGGTATCTATAAATAGTCCCACGTATAAAAATAAACACTGATTTATCTTTTTGTGAGTGAGCAAATACCTGTAAGAGAATGGACAAGTTCAGAAGTCTCTACATCATACAGATTTGCTGTCCTATCCCATGATGCTGTCACAGCTTGCTTCCCCCCAACAAGCCAGTCAGCTGCTATAACCACTCCTTGATGGCTTTTGAGTGAAGTTAATGGGCCTCTGACAGTGGGACAATCACTAGAACCATCTCCATCTCCATCAGGTTCATCTTTATCTGAGAACTCAACTTCATCTTCTCCAGACATTTGCTATACAATGCAAGAGAAAAAAAGATTTAGAATAAATGGAAAGGAACGTCTCTAAGTTATTTTACAGTGTAAATGCTTACCAATCCCCATAATGTGAACATGGGTAACTTAAGTCTGTAGAATCTAGCCTATTTAGGTATTCACTATCAAAAACTTAGCTGAGGAAATAATACCAGTGAGTTAAACACAGTTTTAGTAACTACTTCATTTTAAGACCTCTTCTGAACTGTTTAGCTCTGAATATCTGTCCCCTTTACTATGTGGTAAGTCTTTTATATTCCACTCACGGTAGCACATGTATCAAGGGACTTTTTTTTTTTCTTTATTTTTTTTAAGAGTAGAAAGCATCCAATGGGACACTGACTGTCTTAATCTTTGAGAAGGCAGCCATTTACAGCCATATTTTTACCCATTCGAATCAAAATCATGACATCAATATTTGTCCACTGGTCAATACACTGTCACCATGCAGTGCTGATATAAACTGGATGTAAAATAAAATCTGCTAACGAGAAAGCATTGATTCTGAACCTTATTTCACTTATGCAAGACAAATACACTTTTCTTTCATGACATTTGGATGTGAAAAAGATAACATTTATACTGCTCTTTCAAACTGGAAATGCCAAATCAAGTAAAGTGAATCAAATGTTTTCCATTCAGAAATTTCTCTCATATTATAAAGCCATCTCTTGCCCCAACTCAAGCTTACTGAAAATTTCATGCAATAAACTATGTTTCTCTTCACAATTTAGTAAGAGTGCTTTTAAGTCAAATACAGCATTTAACAGTCTGCAGTAAATCCTGACTAAATAAAAACCTGGGGATAACAATGTCTGATAGTGTGATAAGTGCTGGCATGGGTCAATTAGAAATCAGATTCAAAGATACAATTAAGTAAATGCCAAAAATACAAGTCTTTACTGTCAATTTTCAGTTCATAGCAACTATAGCTAAATCAGGTGCCTCAGTAAATTAAGCTACAAGAATTTAACTAGATTGAAAAGAACATTATTATTTTTGATTTGAATTATTACAAAAAAATTTTACTTGACAGTTCATTACTTAAACATTATTACCTTGAACAAAAAGTCAATTAATGTACTTGAAGCTGTACATTCTATTCTGCACCACAGATCCTTAAAAACCTGGTCTTTTTTGAAAGAAAAGCTGAAATATATCCGTTAAACTAAAACCTTAAAATCCCACTTCTTATAATCCTGAAATCACGTAGTTTAATAATATTTAAATTTAACATCTAGTCTTATCATAAAACCTGTATCTGATGGAACTGCTGTGCAATTAGTTTTGTTGCAGTAAGTCGATAGCTTACATTGCAGTCTGCAGTTGGTTGAGGTGCAGGCAACTGTACTATGTACCTCCAGATGTGAGCTGTCTGGTCTCCAGATGCTGCACAGGGGGAAGAGGAGAAAAAAAGAGAATGGGAGAGACTAAATAAGAGCGTTTTCATCGACCATAAACACAAGTTTAACACTACATTTGGCAATGCCGTCCGAGTTGCATCTTTTCCTAACAGATACTGTTATGACCTTCGTGGTGAGCAAGTCTCAACATGAACGGTTGCTTTCCTGGATTCAATACAGACAACAACAGAATTCATTATACAAAATATAAGTAGCTACCAAATTAATCATTCCTACAGTGAAAACACCCACTTAAATACTACATATCAGAACATGAATATCACTGCTGGTCTAGTATGTAACATTTGAAGAAGGAATGTAATACATCAACAGGTGCCATCTTTCATTTGCTATTTCTTAAAATACTGAGGTTCCTCTTCATTCAATGATTTCTTCCATTAAATGTTTTTAGTGTGGTTTTAATGAGAAACCCAAAAGAGCAAGTGTGAAGCTACTGTGCTTCTGCCTTAAGCAACTCAGCTTAACTAGCATCAGTTTACAGCTCAGCAGGTACCATCTGATTTTAGACTTCATTTGTTTTTGAAATAGTCTCATCCATTATTAACTAAGAAGAAACTCAAGATTCTCCTTGTTGTGGACAGAACAAACATGCTCTAATACCTAGAGGTACAGTGTTGAGAGTTCTAGATTGAGGAGGAAAAGTTTGTTATGAGTATCCATAGATCTGGCAAGTGCAATGTACATGAAAGCACCAGGAAAAATATCTCAACTAATAGACCAAGTAAGAAGGCTAGAAGAAAGGTCAACCTTCTGTTATTTCTGGTGTCAGTATTCTGGATCAGGGAAAAAGATTTTTTATTTTAAGCAGTTCTATATCCATCAAGTGACACTAAAAGAACAGGTCCCCTGAAAATGGAAATTTCAATGGAACTACTGTGCAGAACCACCTTTGAGAATAGAACAAAAATCTAGCTATGGGCAGCTTTCGGTTGGTTGGTTTGGTTTTTATAAGGCATTTTATATAGCAACGTTGTTTATGGTACTGAAACAATGACTACAGTTATCACATGAAAACAGAAAAATTCCAATGGCCAAACTTAAATCAGTTAAACCTAGATAAAAGGCATTCTACTCCCTTTTAAAGTGGTCACTGTAGATGCAGCAAGAAGCAGTGTTTTCATTTGTAACCTCATTAATAATTTTTCCTCATTTCACAATGGCTTACCTAATAGCAGCAAATTAAATCCAGATGTCTCTAATCCCAAAACTAGTGCCCTAGCTGCTAGACCATATGAACCACATTAGACAGTTTTCAAACCTGAAGTTGCACTGATGGTATTCTCAGTTCTGAAAGCATCTTTACACTAACAGTTGTATTTTTGAGCTCTTTTTTCTGTACACTCAATATCACACTATTCTTCTCCTTTACTTCTGGAAACATCATGTATTTCAAAAGGGTTAAAATAGAATACACTATTTTAGTTGGAAGGGACCTAAAATGATCAACTAGTCCAACTGCCTGACCACTTCAGTGCTGACCAAACGTTAAAGTATGTTATTAAGGGCATTGTCCAAATGCCTCCTAAACGCTGACAGGCTTGGGGCATCGACCACCTCTCTAGGAAGCCTGTTCCAGTGCCTGACCACTCTCTCAGACAAAAAACGCCTCCTAATATCCAGACTAAACCACCCTGGCGCAGCTTTGAACCATTCCCACGTGTCCTATCAGTGGATACCAGGGAAAAGAGACCAGCACCTCCCCCTCCACGTTCCCTCTTCAGGAAGCTGTAGAGAGCAATGAAGTCTCTGCTCAGCCTCCTTTTCTCCAAACTAGACAAGCCCAAAGTCCTCAGCCACTCCTCACAGGACACACCTTCCAGCCCCTTCACCAGCTTTGTCTTCTCCTCTGGACACATTCAAGGACCTTCACATCCTTCTGAAATTGTTGGGCCCAGAGATGCACACAGTGTTCAAGGTAAGGTTGCACCAATGCTGAATACAGCTGAATAATCACCTCTCTTGACCAGCTGGTCATGCTGTGTTTGATGCACCCCGTGACACAGTTTGCCCTCTTGGATGCCAGGGCAAACTGCCGACCTGCAGCTCCAGATCCCCTTCTGCAGGGCTGCTCTCCAGCCACTCCTCTCCCAGTTTATACTTGTGCCTGACATTACTCTGTCCTAGGTGCAGAATTCAGCTTTTTGCCTTGTTAGATTTCATCCCATTAATCATAGCCCAACACTCCAATCTCTCTAGATCCCTCTGCAAGACCTTCAGTCCCTCAAGACAGTTAGCAGGAACTCCCAGTTTGCTATCATCATCAAACTTGCTAATGGTGCATTCAACTCCTGCATCCAGATCATTGATAAATATACTGAACAGGACTGGCCCTAAAACTGAACCCAGAACAGTGCTCATGACTGGTCAGCAGTCAGATGTAGCCCCCTTCACCACAACACTCTGATCTCTGCTCTTCAACCAGTTCTTCACCCAGCGCACTGTCAACCTGCTCATCCCACAGTTGGACTTGTCCAGAAGAAGGCTGAGAGGGACAGTATCAAAAGCCTTACTAAAATCCAGAAAAACTACATCCACCTCTTTACCTTTATCCATTAGGTGGGTGACCTTATCATAGAAGGATATCAAATTAGTTAAACAGAACTTTCCTTTCATGAACCCATGCTGACTTTGCCTGATGATTGCATTATTCTTTAAATGCCTTTCAATAGCACCCAGTATTATAATCTCCATAATTTTTCCAGGAACTGAAGTTAGACTAACAGGTCTGTAGTTTCTTGGGTCGTCCCCTCACACCCTTCTTATATATTGGGATAACACTGGCTAACTTCCAGCCAGCAGGGACCTCCCCAGACACCCAAGACCTTTGGTAGATGGTCAAGAGGGGTCCTGCCACAACATCCACCAGCTTCTTCAGTACTCTGGGATGAATCCCATCATGCCCCATGGACGTGTGAACATTCAGCTGACAGATTTCTAAGTGTCTGTTTTGGAGCAGGTAAGAACAAATTACAATGATATGACAAACAAAGATGGAAAGATCTAGCTCTAATTTGTTATACCTTAAAATATAAAAATAATTCAACAAACAAGGATGCTGATAAAGCAGTAGGAAGAGGGGCTACGGTCAAAAAGATGCTAGCAAATGACACTTATTTTTCCATCATGACTAACATACTCAGCATATGAAAAAACTTTACGTACCTGTAAGAGCCACTTGCTCAGTTGGATGAAACTTTATCGAATTTACTGTGTAAGATAAAGCAAAGTTTTAAGCTAGTATACCACAACAATTATTTCACAGTTTTATCATTAAAAGCACTGAAAAAATCAAGATCTTCAGTTTCAAGTAACTTTTTGTAGTATAGCAATCTCTTTGGTGAGATAAAGAACAATGGTATTTTATTTGAGTAAACAAACTTATGTAGTATCAAGGAAAGCAGCTATAGTTGTTTATACAACAATACATGTTTTCTAGTAAGCTATTTCCTGAATCTAGCACAAGTCTTTCATGTTACACAGGATAAAAAAAGCACATTCAAATAATTGTGTGTAAACTGACAGGAGATAATGCTCTGGACTTCCATAAAGAGAATTTAAGTATTCATAACTATTTCTAACATATTGAAAACTTACTATATGTTATCATCAACTTTCTGATTATTGCTTAAGACTGCAAGAACAAATGCCTAAAAACCTAATGCAAATAATAAATTAGATTTCAGTCATGCAACCACATGTAATCAAAACATGATTGTTTTAGAGTAGTCCTGAAAGAATTCTATCAGCCTACAAAACTCTTCATTTTTTATTTGTGCATAACACTCAATTATCTTTCATTACTAAGCACTTTCATTTACAAAATCCTCAAGCTTCTCTTCAACAGTTCTTCAAGAAAGCACTTAGAAACCATTTCCATCCACCATACAAGTAAAATAGATGCTTATATTGTCAGAAGAGGGTGGTGTTATGAGTTTACACTTTAAAAAGATACTCCTTAAATTGTTCACACTGAACTAACAATGGTTCACCAACTGCTGGCACCCAACACATTTGCTCCATTTCAAATTAACTAGCAAGTGTAAACAAAAAAAGTTTTACTAAATCAAAAATACTTTTAAAAAATATAATTTATATAAATTTATATTTTGTATAAATTATAATGTATATTTTTTTTTTAATTTAGTTTACACATAAGTGTTTAAATACAGGTTAGGGCTTTTAATATTTACATGGTTATCCAAATAGCTTTATTTTTTTTAAATTGCTGTCAGCATGAAAATATAAGTGACTGGAGATTTTAAAATGACTTTCTGAAGACTAAAGGTACCCTTCTCCATGCAGAAGACACCTGAATATCTGAACAAATTAAATTGTTACCTGTTGTTTCTATGCATCTATTTATTAGTATCTTTATGCTGTAGGAGCTAGAAATCATACAGCAGGAAAAAAAGTAGAACTCATGGATAAAGTAGCTGACCACTCTCTGGAAAACTTGTATCTTTGCCACAAAGTTTATGCGATGTGCTCACTGAGTTACTTAACCAAACAATAACTGTGTTCCTCATTTTCTAGGTGCATGACACTACACTCCAGGGTATGATCACCCAATGAATGTGCTCAACTCTCAACAGCAAGTTAAAGCTATGGAAAACTGTTCCATCTTTGCTATATAAAATCCTATATTGTAACCCTTTGTGAGACAGAAAGGGATAATCATGTGCTTGTCAAATTAGACACCAAAAATTAACATCAAAAACACTAACTGCACTGCACCTCTAAAGCGAATAAGGGCTTTAAAAACACTGTTTCTGAAATAGTCATAATGGTATAGAGGACAAATGCCTATATTGAATTAACTGTCTTCAAAACAAGATTTTAATACTATGCAACAAATTATATGGGATCACGTATTAAAGAAGTGCAAATAGCTGTTCACCTGGCACCCATATTTTGTACCCCAATAACAGAGATCCTGCAATACAGCTAATTTCCAATTACATAAGCTTCTCTTGCTCTGTATATGCATGAGACCTCAGTGAGTTTTGACATTTAAATCAGAAGTGTTGTAATTGTGCCCGTAAATTTCTTTATATGGACTTGTTTATTCATTTAGCATTTATGGAACTGTCTTAATATGCCTCTCCAAGAATGAATCATATTACAAAACATTCTCTCTATGAAGATTATTGGAACTTCACAACTGACTTGTTAATGATGTTGGCAAACATGCAAGCAAAACCGCAGTAAACATTTTTGTAGTTGTCCAAAACACATTTCCCCCCCCCCTCGCTGTTTCCAATTTTCACAACATGCCCTTATCTTACCTGATCCAACATGCCCTACATACTTGACAAGGCACTTCCCTGTTTCTATGCTCCACAGCAAAGCAGTGTGATCTACAAAGATTAAAAAGTAGGTGTAAATATTTTTACAAATGTGTTCAGAAAGAACACAGAAAGCATTGTGGTGAAAAAGTCAGGCAGTCACTACAAACGAGTTCTGTGCACACACTATTTACTTCCTGCACAGAAGTCCCAAATGCATTTAGGTCACTACAGAGCACTACAAAAACTTACTTATAAAGGAAAGTACTCCAAATACCACTCCTTTATCCTGCCACATCCCAAAATGAATAATTATATATAAGTATTTATAAGTGGGGAGAACTTTAATGTTGAATTGGAGAATGTCCATTTCCAAGTTAAATCAGGACAAAGACAAGATGTCCCACACAAAAACAAAATGTGCTCCTCAGTGGGCACATAAAAATTATAACAGTTCAGTTTATGATGCAGAGGTTTCTGGCCCATTATATTTATGTTCAGTAAGTGTCTTTAGATTCTGTTCCAGCTTCAAAACACTGTCATTTCAAAATGAGCAATTCTAACTGGTTATGGTTTCTTTCCCTGCTAATTTTCCAAAACCACACAAGCCCCTAGATTGATTTTTAGGTCATAATAGATTCAGTGAATTATTCATTAGCACCTGTTCCCTCTCAAGTGGGAAGAAAGGAATCTAGTAAGTTAGTACGAAAACAAAATTAAGATTTTTAGCTGCCCCTACATCCTTAGGCAAAAGCCAGATAGATGAATGTAAGGATACAAGAATAAGCAAACTATGACTATGTCTACAGCTTCTATAAAAAAAAAGGCTAAACAATACTATGATAGAAAGTCTGAGGGGATCTCTGTATACAACTGTATAACATTTTGCCTAGGAGACCTCTCCAAGGAAGCAGCTCCCCAACCCACCCATTTATACAATCCAGCAGGCTAGAGCTGACTCTAAGGAGAGCATGACCTGCATGGACATTAACTGGAACATACTTCAGAAAGATCAACAAGGATGCCTGAACCTCCTACAGGTTAAATGTATTTCAAGGAAACTCCAATTTATGGATTCTTCAGCTACTGAACTTCTTTAAATCAACTCTTTCAGTGTGGAGCCAAGTATTAAAGTATACTTTCAATCTACCTTTGCTATAGCTTAGGGACTAAACCAGAATTTTCCAAAGGTTCAAGCAACACAAAACTTTACCAGCAGATGCAGTTCCCAACACGACTGGTTGAGTTTTCGCAACACTGACATCCCAAATACCATCTCTGTGGCCAACATATTCCTTTACCAGTTGACAGATTGCCCTTGATGTTGTAGTTTTAAAACTGGATACAATCTGAAATAGCAGAAAGACCAACATATTTTCTTCCGCATTGACCCAAGATTAAGTAATTATCTCACAAATACAAACAGATACTAACTTTTTCATGATGAATTTTTAGTGCTCTGACTGTCAAAAATTTGTCATGTCACTCTGTTGTCAAAAATTTGACATTTGATGATAAGAAAGTGAGTTTGGATGCAAACATACCTCTTTTTTTTTTTTTTTTTAATAACATCCCCCTTTCTACAAAACACAAGATAAACTATTCAGTACTACAATAACACAATCTTATTGGAGTAGCGTGTTGTACAAATGCAGTGTGCACTTCCCATTCAGTTTGGGTAAAGGAGTATATTTTAAAAATATCAAAACTCATAAAACCTCAAAACTTTCCTTGCCTATTATCAAATGATGGTCCATGTTATCAGTGTAATGTCTTTGAAAAAATGTACTTATATAATTTAGTAAAGTCCAGAAACATTCCCATTTAAAACACTCGCTGCTGTTCTGCTTCAAAACTGCACAAAGCTAATCAAATCAATCATTAACCTAAGAACACATACCAGATTATTTGCATAACAAAGGTGTTTTTTTTTAAAAAAAAAAAAAAAGGTATGTCAAACTCATCTAAACATTTGATAAGCACTTTCCCCCCTGAAGTCAATGCTATTAGGGGAAAACAGAAGAATTGTTAAATCCAAGTTGGTATGTGCATAAGTAATACCAAATGACAGGAAGGAAAAGTCTAGCAAAAAATGGTAAAACTACAAGGCACTGCAGTACAGGAAGGCTGAAAACACTCGTTATGTAAAGAAACAAACCAAATTGCAAAAATTCTATATTTTCAGTTAAAGGGGAGTGCAATATTGAAACACTAAAAAAAGTTTGCCCTGCTGGAACACTTCCAGAGGCAACTGAAACTGTGGTGAAAGATGGCTTCAAACAGCAAAACCAGTGTTAAAAATACCTTATTTTTATTACACAAGTCCTGAAGTTCATAACTGTTCTTTGAGAAAGACTATCTGAAAAGCTTTGTTAAAAACGAAATAAAAATACTTTGATTTATCAGTGTTTTCTTCTGCATGCAATTATGGGCAGGTATCTGACTGGTTAAGTCAAAACCTTCAACACAAATCACAATAAGACTTACCTACAGCTTAGTAAAAGTTAGAAAATTAATTAAGTCTGAGTTTCAGATACAATAAAGTTAAAATTCCATTAGCTTTTTGGTATCAAAAAAGAAGGTTTTAAGTACATCATTATAGCAAATTACTTCCAAAAAGGTTTTTAAAAGTTAAAGAATATCTGCAAGAGCATTCCAAATCCTGAGCATGTCAACTTTCCAATGATGAAATGAAAATGTTCTATTTGAAATAAAAAAACCCAGGTAATACACATTTTGGTTTCACAACAAAAGAAGGAACAATTATTATGGATGCACTGAAAAGAATATGGGTTAATGGTAAAGATTGTTAGTTCTGCAGAGTTTCATAGGCTTTGAATACAATCCTACAGCCTTCACATTGAATGTAGTTCTTAAACTAAATGGAGTCATGTATGAGAAATGGAACAGCAGAATTAAGTAAACAGTTAAGGACTAGTATAGTGCTCAGTTCAAATTCCAAACTTGGAAGTTTTTCAACTCTCACCCCCACACTCAAACTATGATTGCATCCTATCTTACGAATGCTGAGTCAAATCCTCATGCAAAAGTTTTCTAGGAGAAACTATCTCCTAATCATTAACGAGCACAGATTTGCCAAAAATGCTGGAGTGGTTTCATTGATCATTTAATGGCAAGCCTTTTAGATTATCAGCTGTCTTGAATGAACACACAGAAGAGTTCAAGAACACAATCTAACACTGAATATTCAGATATAGATACTTATTTAATGCACACTTGTTCTACACATTTTTCCTTCCTTCCTTCCTTCCTTCCTTCCTTCCTTCCTCCCTCCACCAGTGATTGGATAAACTAGATACTGCCTGGATTATTTACTGGATCCTTAACCATACATGAACAATTGTCAAAGAAACTAACAGAAATACTTAAATTACATGCAACTTTCTAAAAAGAGGCCTTTGTACTGCAGGAAATTTTTAAAATAACTTCAGCAGATCTCAGATTAACATATACAAACACAAGTGGGCAATCATATTTTGAGCATTTCACCTTTCTCCTCTTTCTTAAATCCATATAGTTTCATGTATTTCCTTCTATACAGAGATCTGTTAATATGGAAACAATTGTTTGTCATACAAAAAATTAAAGCTGCAAATTGAAACATCATGAAAAATATTATCATGTAAACAATTGAAAACTGAATACAAATTGAAACAATTGTGTGGCAAAGAAATTGAAACACTCTGTAAAATTGTCTCTTAAGCAGACAGGACACATAGAAATACAAATGTGTACAGTCAACGCAGGACCAGTGCAGCAGCATTACACTGTGACTGATTAACATAATTTCCTGTGGAGCAACATTAAGCAGTGAGGTCAAAAACTACATCTTCCAAAAAGTTTTATTCCTTTCAACTGCTGGGTCAAGAAATACCTTGCTTTAAGAGTCCTCTTCCCAAAGCCAAACAATCAGAGATCCTGGAAATTAGTTTATGACAGAGCAAGTTACATCATTTCAGTCTATTTTAGGACTCTGCATAAACTGTTAATGTTTTCCTGATTTCTTAACAACTGTCATAGCAAGGGATTGTTAACATAACATCAGCAACACCATTTTGTTAAGACCAAAACATGAATTTCACATAGCTATTCCTGCATCTACAAACAATTGCAGTTAAATTACCAGATCTTGCCCATTAACACATACAAAAAATTATTTTCAGAATACCAAGCACTAAATCTACTCTATCTCTTCAGGATTTTGACACTGGTAGATAATCCCTGCTGCTAAAAGCATCCTTTTCTGATATGAGTTTTGCCAACTTAACATGCAGACTCCTAACTCAGCTCAGGGATGAAAAGTATCCAGGTATAGGAATTTTCTATGAAGGACTCTAATTAAGCATGTTTACCTCAGCATTTTCCCCAAGAAAATGAACAGATTGCTTTAGTCTTAGCATGTTTTACCAATATTAACACAGTCAGGGATCAGCTTTCTCATTAGAACAAGCAAATATGAAAGCTTCTGAAAGCTCTTTACAGAACAAACCTGAACTCTTTTTATGTTGGCAATCAGAAAAATGTAATCATGTGCAATTACACAAAACAACTAGTTTGTAAAACTTAAGTCTCTTGTAATTTCCCACAGGAAAAAAAAAAAAAAAAAAAAAACGTATAAAGGATAGGTTGAAGAGAAACGTTGAAATCCACTACCCCACTGAGTTTGGAACACAACCCATTTTTGGTGAATGGCACTGTTCATTCAATGCTCATAAAAACATAGACATGAGAATTTCAAAGCTGTTGAACCTTTAAAATTTGTCAAATGTCATTTTCACAGATAGGGTATGAGGGAACTCTTAACTGCATCCAGTCAGGATACAGATGAAAAGTTCACAAGTTTGTTAGAAATCTAGTTACAGTCTTTCCTGACTTTCAGCTATAGTCTCTTTGTGGGTCAAGAGACAAAGGTTACAGCTTTGACTCTTCTGTGTAGGAAGAAAGAGGTGGTCAAAATAAAAGCCAATCCCATGAAGTGCACAAAGGTTTCAAAGAACACACTGGACAGAGATGATCTCAACTTTATTATTTCCCTCAGCTCTCCTCTCTACCCCCCAGTAACTTCTTCAAAGTTTTAGAAAGAAATGTATGTACCAGCACCCTCAACCTTGTTGGTTATCAATTGATATAATAGATATGTACGATGCCTATAATAAGGTATTAAATTCTTCGTGTTCCACTACTCATGAATATTTTGCTGTGTATGCATATCATATCACTGGGAAGCAAAGCAGTTACCCAGGAGTCTCCACCCCATACTTCCCAGCTTCCCACGCAGAAGTTGTGAGGTCTACCTGCCTTGCCCAGGAAAGAGTATAAGCACTACATTGCAAGCAAGCAAAAGAAGATAAGCATTTAACACCAGCCTTTAAAAAAACAAAACCAAAACAAAACCCCCAAAACACCAACACTATACTAGAGAAACTACTAATTCCTAACTACATAGTAGGTGCACTAATACTATGTTGTCCCTATTAATATCATATTGTCCCTATTTAAGTGGCCTCATTAAAGAATTCGTAAATCATTAACTCTTAAGAAAAAGGAAGAGGCACCTCTATGCATCAGATTGGCAAGAATCAAAAAAAGTTTGAAAACCAGTAAAATAAAAAGGAGACCAAATAAAACACAGTAACTTAGATCTATTTCACCATGCTACTCTTACTCTCAAACTTTCAGGCTACTTAATAGATGGTATTTCCAAGACACCTACAGCCATCCCATAACCACAGATTAGCCTGCAACACAGGTCACCACAGAGCTTCTTACATGGTTGGTTCATGTACCACATCCCACTGTGGTTTCCTCACACATCATTTACCCTTAATAATGTATCATTAAATGACCATGAGATAGGGCAAAAAGAGCAGCAGGTAAACAACAACAACAATTTTGAAAATTGAAAAAGGGAAAAGAAAGAAGAAAACAAAAATACCAGACAGATGCACAAAATTAAAGGAAAAAAAAAAAAAAATCAGAAAGGGTAGCTGTGCTGAGACCAGATTAAAAAAAAAGATCAGTAGCTACTAATATGCAAGGCTTGCAATGTAAAGGAAACAAAATGTTCTAATCTCATAGTTAAAAACCAAAAATAATTTCAAAAAACCCCAACTTATAATAGTACACATATAGATGCCTACTTAAATCCCCATTTCAACTACAATACCTGAATATTTATTCAGAAATTCACTACCTACTCAGTTCGCTATTTCCCTCATGAAACTGAATCTTTTTTAGTTCTCTTTACAAAAGAGAAATCCCACAAACACACATGTGCACACACTCTCTGCCATCCAACATTCTTTTTTTAAAAAAGGTGAGCAATTATCGTAAAAACATCATATAGTGTGGTTGAAGTAATGGGTAATTGATGAATCCAAGACAAACATACTGCTCCTCATGAGGCAGATTTACTTAAAGAACAGCACTACTCAGCTTAAAGAAACCACAATTTACAACTTAAGGACATCCATGTTAGTCTCATGAGTACACATTGATGAGTAGAGGTTTAATTTATCTCATACCTTGCTAGTAGATGCCTTGTAAGTTGTCTTTAATTTCTGAGAAAGCTGACTGGTACTATGACTGGCTGTTGAGACAAATAAATTCAAAGGAAGATATTTCAAATATAGCATTAGCTTATTTGTAGAAGTAACTGGCATTAATTCCCTTCAATAAGATTCTAAGTTTTGGGCAGCAAAGTACAAAAAAAGTAAATTCAAAAATACTAGTTGAGGATAGGATTCTTTGTGGTTCTCTTACCTTTTGTTTTCAGCTGTCCTTTGCTCAGTTCAGCTCCATCAATTGTCTGTCCTTCAGCTGCTAAACGCTCATTCAGTGTATCAATCTCTCTACGTACTAACAAAAAAAAAATCACATTAATACAAAAAAAATCGAATATCATTAACATACTATTTAAGAATCATTATGGTAATTAATCTATTTTATGCTAAGGACGGGAAAAGAGATCAACTCTAAAACTCGTGATTTTATAAAAGCAGGTCTCACCAAGACATAAACCAAGACTCATGCTGAATTTTCCAGAGATCAACCTTGACCCAGATTCCAATGAAAGTATTGGTGGCTTCTAATTACTGTTACTTTTACTAATAAATGTTGCTAAGGATTAACAAAACAGATTCTGTGAAATACATGGCACACTTGTATTGAATTAAATCCAACAGAAGACAGAAAAATTGCAGCATCATAAATTTTAAGCCACAGAATTAGTATGTCATTTCTTGACAAAGATTTTAATTACCTCCCCTGAACGCCTGTCTACTTTTAAGAGTTTCAGTAAGAAAGGTAGTGCAGAAAATGTCTATTTTTTATAGTTTGAAACGGATTTTAAAAAATGCAGTATGACATATACATTTTACATTTCAACTGTTGTAGAAACACTAAGTATGATCAAAATATTTTCATTGCACATCACACAAAGCATGTACTGGTAACAAGAATACGCTTTTATGTCAATTATTTGTAACTCTCACCAGTGCCATTTCAACACAAGACAAGAGTGATGGCACAGCTAAACCAAATCATGTACTCGTAAATGACTTCCAGCAGCTGGGCTGGTTTAAAGTTGCTCAACATTTTATAAAGAACATTTTCAGAGGCTTATAATTTTTTTCTCAAAATCTGAGCTGATACTCTTTGAGAGTGAAATCTTTTTGAAAGGATTTAACCAAGCAGATTTTCACTGTTCCTGAGAATACATCTAGGCCTGTCTTTGCACAAATCCTTAGGACTTTTTTTTTTTTTTTAATAAGTCTTTCACTTCCAGGCTTTGAAATGTTGGAAAACACTAGAGGTATGATTCTTGCCATTTATGAGAAATTCACTTGAGTCTTGGTTCTAAGCACTAGAAAAGTCAGTTTACGCTTCCATACCACATCCAAGTGCTTGAAGTAAGCAAAGCAAGGTTCTCTTTCCTGTCTATCCAGTCACATAAACCTAAACTTTTATAAAACAGAGAATATGAAAGAGAAGTAAACAAAGAGACAGGCTCGTAGTAACAGATGACTGAAAGAAACAAGCCAGTCAGATACAATAATTGCCTGAAAGGATTAAGACTGAATCCTGGAAGGCATTAAAAAAAAAAAAGGAAGAAACTAGAAGTAAGTTGTAATAAGGGAAAGGGAGTATATGAAAAGCCAGGGAGGTAAAATCTGACATTCTCTATGTACAGTAACCACAACACTAGTGTATGAATTAGACCAAGAACCAAAAATAACAGACTGAGCATCAGAAAATAAAAATTTGTTAGGCAAAACCACAACCACATTTAATACTTTTTCAAGTAAGACACTTCTCCAGTTGTATGTACTAATATTACAGCATTACAATTAAGTCTGTAAATATACAACAAAGCTACAAACTTCAATGGCTGAATGGAGTTACTGCCAGATTGACATGGTATATACCAGAGCCTACAGTGATGAGACGGACACTTCACTTTCTTTGCCTAAGAGTCAAGGAGAATGACACTCATCAGTTCTCACTGCTTGCGTCATAGAACCAAGTGATTTTTCTGAACAGGTACAAACTCCATCTTTAGCTACAGTTCAAAACAACTCAAACTCCTCACAGAAAAACTGCACTAATTACATTACAGTATTCAAGGTGAGCATCTCAATTAGCACTGCTATATCCTAAATCCAAACAATTTGTAAGCTGCTGGAAAAAAAAAATACTCACATTCCAAATTTTCAATATACAGGTTTTCAAACTCCCGCTCTATTTGTCCAAAAAGTTCAAGGAGTGTATTCCGGACTGAAGATGGTAGTTTAGAATCCTATGAGGCAAAATATCAGGGTTTATATTTTTCTTTACATATATTTTAATGTAGCTATCCTTCAGTCTTAAACTGATTTTAATAGCTCTTGCCACCTCCCAGCAAGGATAGAAATTAAAACTACTAGTAGTGTGGAACACAAAACAAAAAGCTCTGTGCATCAAAAAATTATTCATTTTACATACTCTTTCAAGGAACAGAAATCAAATCACCCATGCGATTTTTTTGTTTTTACTAGAAAAAATTATAAACCCAAGATGTGTGTACAACCCATTAAAAAAAAAAAAAAGTGGAAAAAAGTTACAATATGATGTCAAGGCATTTCTAGTTCAAGAAGAAAGAATACCTTTGGGTGACAAAGTCATTCCGAAGTTGACTACGCATTAGGTTAGGAAGGTGTCATCCCAAAGCACCGTATTACCGACCTTGAGACAAACTAAACTTTTAAACATATTTTTAACATCTACCTATTTTTGTCATTAACCATAATTAAATGTGAAGTTAACTGCAATTTCTAATCTGTCCCTCCCCAGTTATTATTCAAGCATCTCCTCTTCATAGAAAGTATTTTGAAGCAAATTCACAGAGGAGGGCTGGTTTTTTTCCTCAGTATAATCAACATAGCAACTCTGAAGCAAAAAAACAAGTATGTAATAAAACCACTAACACAGGATTTATATAACCTAAGGTCAATACACAGCTTGGCCACAAGTTTCTGTTGGCTAATGATTTCAATTTTATTCATTTGTCTATAAAACAGAGATCAGCACCATATTTTCCCCAAACAAATGCATACCATATCCAAAACAAGTACTGTTTTCTTTCTGTTGGGAGTCAAGTTTCTCACCATATTGGTGATTCTGTTATCAAATACCGTTGAGCAGACAGTGACTAAAGCAAAAGACAACTGACTGCAGTATACTGAGAATCTAGTACTCACTAGTAGAATAGTACTTGTTCACTACGTAAATAAATTCTAACTAAATCTGTTCTATTCTTCAGTTGCCATTGGACCACAACATGTAAGTTAGCTTACTGCACTTATTGTTTATCTAGGTAGCCAGCTATGAATATTTTTTAAAAGAAGCTTCAACTTACCTGAGCTTTATCCTAACAATGAAAAAGTTCAACTACTCCTTTGTAGCATATCTAACCCATCACCTCAGAATTCAGTAAGACAACATCTTATTACCTATAAATAATGCAGCTGTATTCAAAAACTGAGAAATATCTACGCAAAAAAACAAACCAGTTAACAAATTCCAGAGTGAACTTAATATGGTATCATGTATACCATATTATCAATATATCAATGTTCATCTATCAAATATACAGGGAATGTGCCCATCAGCAAAAGCATGTAATTTCAAAATCTTGAAATTATCAGCTATGAGCAAAAAAAAGGAAAACTGATTCAGCTTCTGCCACAGCACAAACCACTATTTCAAATCTAGAAGTACAGAAGAAGCATTACTAGAACGGGAGTACAAATGTTAGCACAGGATACCACCCAAATTCGAATGAACTTCATTATTCAGTGCATGTTTATGGATAATTATAGCTCGTTTTCTTCTTAAGCATTCCAGCAAACCTAAACCAAAAGAACTCGGTTCCCTCCCTAAGCTGACTGACTGGAGAGGCTGCATGAGCTCACCAGCCACCGGAGGGCACCATCCACCGTGCGGCTGCAACCAAGTCAGCGCCCAACCACATGAACTGCATTTCGCTCGCATTTTGGTTTATACAGTCAAGTGATTGTCTTCAGAAACGGTAAAAGCCTGCCATGATCCCAATTTTGTAAATTATTTCTCAACATCAATTTTAAAGATGAGTAAAAGAAACCACTAACAGCCATGACTGATATAGAGCAATCTGCTTTGCGCATGTCAGTTTAACAGCAGTTTCACTGCTACTTGAAGCTGTGGCACTGTGCTGAAAGAGGAGGTACTATGCTCCTTAAGACCTGCTTAGGGGGTATTCCTTTCTGCATCTTCATCTGCCTCTCCCTTGAGACAGTACTTCTGTTCATGCATTCAGAGTCAACCAGAACATGAAAGAGATCCTGATTAAAACCAACTTGAGACAAAACTGATAAAACAAGAATACAAATTAAACACTATTAAGAGAAACACTGAAGTTAGATGAATTATTTCCAATTCAATTACCCAATAATTCCATACAGCAATGTTATGAAAGAAATTAAGTTATCCTACAACTTTTCAAACAGAAAATATGTAGGAAAGGTTTTCAATCTGCTTCAGAGCCTGAAAACGTGAGCAAATCTAAACCTGTCCTAAAGTAAAAAAATACAGCCACTTCCTTTACTCTCTTTAAAGTTGGCATTATTTAAATTAGTTCATTAAAATATCATGTAATAATGTTATCTGTTTATCTGTCGAAGTACTTATCTAGATCTTACGTGGTTTACAGCTCCACTGTGAAGGGGCATTAATTAATACTCTCTATTCCTTAAGATCTGCCACCAGTTGTTCAAGGTTAAGGGTCAACAAAATTTAAAAAAAATATTTGCATACTATAGCATAATACACTTAGAGAGTTTGATAAGAAATACTAAAACAGCTTAAAATTTTGGTTTACTACACTAAAACGACAGCATGCCTTGAACTCTCAGCTGCCTTTCACTCCCTTCCTGAAGGCTGTAACAGTCCAAATAATTGAACAGTTTTCTATCCAAGTACTTAATATTCTCCAACTTCTGGATGACTAGAAGCAGCAACTTTGGCTCTGTTAATGTCCAGAAAACTAACGCTGTAATTTACTGAATAATAGATTCAATTAAAAAAGATTTTTTTAATGTCACAACACTGAGAAAGACTCAAGGTTTTCCCTTCAGAGTATCTGCAGAGTCCAGAAAGTGAGGTTTCTCATAGCCAAACACTGCTAGTATTTCAAACCACCTCTCTGATAAAGATCAAGTTTTGCATCATCTTTGCCAGGCCCGCATTAATACTGTGTAGTTGATTTGACAATAAATAGTTTTCAAACTGATATTGGCTTATCTTTGGCAGGACTATTTCAAACATTTCCTATAGGAGCCTTACCTACAGTTAATCACAATATTGTTACCTGAAACACTCCAATTGGCTTCAGAGTGCATCCACTATACAGACTGACATGATTAATAAAATTACATAAGTTTGCGGTAGTTGTTCTTTCTCAAATTCAAACTTATGAAATCGAGAATCATCTTCAGTTCTGGAGTGGGTGGTGCGCGTAGCAAAACAAACTGTTCCTTTGAGTTTCTTCACGGTTTTAGCATTCATGTAAGAATACACATAAAAAGCTCCATGGGTCTGAATACAGCCTCAAACACTGTCAACATCCACGTCAGTGGTCTCCAAAGACAGTCAGCAGTTGCAAGCAAGAAAGTCTGTTGTTCCTGCAGCTTTACTGGACCTACGTCATTACTTAAGTTTATTTAATTTCCTCGCATAGAAAACACTTCTCATAAAAAAGTTACCGAAGTTACTCAAAGCATCAGTGTATATCTTACCTGCCCTTCCAACATGTCTCTCTGCAGTCCTGCCCTTTCTTGCTCGGAACTGTTGGTTCTTCGGATTGAAAGACTGTGTGATTTACGTTTCTGCTTTGCTTGGCGAGCAGATGCACAACTTCCACTTTCTATTGGCATTACTTCAAAAAGACAGCTTCACAGAGACTCCTATGATAAACTAAGGACAAGGCATTACACATTACAAATTGCTTTGCCAAAGTTTAAATATTTTTCTCAAAATAGAAATATTTAGTTCTATTAAATTTTGGAGTTGTTTGGGTTATTATTAAAAAGAAGGGATCCCTATAACTTACAGCTATTCTTCAAACAACATTAAGTTCAAAAGCACATATGCAGGTATGTAAATAAAGTGGAATCACTTCTGCATTATTTATTCATTAGCGAACAAACCTCCACAAAAGGAAAATAAATTCCACTATCTTGCTCATTTTGGAGAACACTAGCAGATACAGCCCCAAAATGCTTCAGGAAACAACTATGATGCATACTGTATTTCACTGAAATGCATGCAAAATTAAAACTCAGCTGGAAAATGAAAGCAAACAGACATGATAATTTAGGGACACTGTCAGGTTAAGAATATATTATGCAACATTGTGTTAGTATACAAAATTTAATATATGTGCCTAGTCACATATAAGCAGAAATTAATTTTAATGTCAGAAGTTCTGACAACTACTTTCCACCATTTTCAAGAGCTCAGTTTCACTTTCTTGATAGTAAAAGCGCCCATGAACTTATGAGGAGTGAAAGTGCACCTGATTTACCAGGCTACTGTTGTTAATTTCTGTCATCTTGTTAAAGCCAAATATGCATTTTAATATCCTAAAAACCTCTGACAGTATCACCAATTAATATTACCATGCATGATCTACTGCTTTCCCCTGTTTAAGAAAAATCAAATTATGTTTGATTTATTGCATAAAGGTGAGGAATATGTTCTTTACTGTCAAAATCTTGTTTTTTAAAAACTTTAATTACTGGATTTTATTTTTCAAATTTAAACCTGATATTCAACAGAAATTGTTTTCAGTTTTATGGGGGACCAGCTGTTAAACATTTCAAATGTTTTAGGATTGATTATTCAAATTTTTCAATCAAGAACATTGAGAACAAAATAAAAATTCATTCTCCAGCATAAACAATTTCTGAAACAATTACGACATAAAATAGCTGCAATAGTCTGCAGAGAAATAGGAGAGCAGAGCTGGCAAAGCTAACAAGGCAACTGAGCTTCCTTTTAAATAAGTTGATCAGAGAAAATTTAAACCAAACCCAGGGCCACTTCCAATTTAAGATCCGCCAACACACTACATCTCAAGCTAGGAATGAGCACCATCACTATGAACAAGACTAGGCATTAACCATTTAGGTGGTTTTGAAATGGTATTTTCAGCTTTTTAACATACCATAAAGCCAAGGAAAAGCATACCTTACTAAAATCTCACGAATAAGAACAGTTTTAAATTTGCTTTGGCTTTTATATCACAAAATAAAAATATAAAAAAATATAAATTTATATCAAAATGAGACTAGACAGTGTTACAGTCTGGATGTCCATCCATCCTCAAATTTTCTCATTAAAAAACTTGATATTTTAATTAGCTTTTGAAACATCCATGTTCCAGTAACCTGATTCCAATTTCATAGTAAAACTGAAATAAAACTCAGGTCGCACCAGTACCTTGTACTGCACTGAGATGATTTTGTTCATCTCCTCTGGACTCTACACAGTCCTTCCCTACACCTAATCCCATCAGAGCTTTTCATGTGTGATTAATCAGTAGTAACTATTTAGCTATATTCACGAATTAAAGAAGAAAAAGAACTACCACTGGGCAGTTTCTTATTTTTTTTACTGTGGCTAGATCCATTTACCGTAGAAAGACAGGACTGAAATTAAAAAAGCTCATCCCATAAACAAGTTACTGCCAGTTCTCTTGGCTTCACTAGTATCTTCCTGTTCTTGGACATATGGTCAGTAATTAGGAATAGGTTTTCAGAGCTCAGCACATTTCTATTTCTTTTCAAAACATGATCAGATCTCAAATGCAATCCCCAGTCCCATCTCCCTTGGGAAAAACTCTCCCAATGGCTTTCAGTTTACTGGTTTCTGCAGTGTTCAGGATTGCTTTTTAAGGCTCAAAGGTCCAAACTCTGTGCACACACATAGGTGTGTAAAACAGTTTTTTATCTATACATAGTTACATATAATCACATAAATCAATTAACAGTTTCATTTAAGTTCTGTGAAAAAAAAAAAACCCCAAACTTCTAATTCCTGCCAGATATAGCTCCTTAGCTGTAGTTATGCACAGAGATGTTAATATGGTTTATGCCTTACCAGGCATTGTTTTAACTGTGTTGCCTTCCATTTGCCCTCTAGTGCCAAGCTACTTTATTTTAGATGACTTTGCCATGAAATACTCTCTTCTGGATTACTTCATAAAATCACAGAATGATTTGGGTTGGAAGGGACCTTTACAGGTCATGTAGTCTTTCCCCCTTGTAATAAGCAGGGACATCTTCAACTACATCAGGTTGCTCAGAGCCCTGTCCAGCCTGACCTTGAATGTTTCCAGGGATGGGGCATCTACCACATTTCTGTGCAACCTGTTCCAGTGTTTCATCACCCTCACTGCGAAAAAATTCTTCCTTATATCTAATCTAAACCTACCATCTTTTAGTTTAAAACCATGACCTCTTGTCCTGTCAGTAAATGCCCTAGTAAAAAGTCTATCTCTGTCTTTCTTGTAAGCCCGCTTTAAGTATTGCAAGGCCACAATAAAGTCTCCCCAAAGACTCCTCTTTTCCAGGCTAAACCACCCCAACTCTCACAACCTTTCTTCATAGGAGAGGTGTTCCAGCCCTCTGATCATTTTTGTAGCTCTCCTCTGGACCCACTCTAACAGGTCCATGTCTTTCTTGTACCATTGGTTACAACTGGCTTTCTGGGCTGCAAGTGCACATTGCTGCCTAATGTCTGGTTTTTCATCCACCAGTATCCCAAAGTCCTTCTCCACAGGGCAGCTCCCAATCCCTTCATCTCCCAGTCTGTATTGATATTGTGAACTGCCCCAACACCGGTACAGGACCTTGCACTTGGCCTTGCTGAACTTCATGAGCTTCGCATAAGCCCACTCCTCAAGGATGTCGAGGTCCCTCTGGATGGCATCCCTTCCCCTGCAGCCAATCAACTGCACCACTCAGTACCTACAGATTTTGCAGATATACATTCTAACATGGAGAATTTAAAGGGACACAGTCAAACGCATGAGATTACATTTTTACATAAGAGAAATCCTTGCATTAACTACACAAAAGTTTCTATGTTCGCAGCTCATAAGCAAACAGAAACGATTAGGTAAAACACACCTCCACTGTAGTATCTATTTGTTAGCAACACTGCACCTGCAGCCAGTGTCACCGACAGTAACGGCACTCTCCTCATGCACCAGCATGACCACATCACTCATGCACTGTTCTGGAGAAAGCAAGCATGCACGCTCTTCCCCAGGCTCTGCGAGGGGGTGCCTACAGCCATAGCAAAGCTGCAACTCAAGAGGCAACAAGCAGGCATGTGCATACAGAGGATAGGAAGGAGAAGCTGAAGAGGACTAGAGTCACTGCCTTTATCATTGTTCTGAATTCCACCAAATAGCCTTACAAACTTTCAGGAAGGAGCAGTAATTGAAGAGTTTTTAGAACCAGGATGTAAATTCGATTTTAAAGAGTGACAGTGTCCCTTTAAATATTAACTTCACTTTGACAATTTCAGAACTATTTTGATGCTAATTGCAACCATAGGAAGCTATAGGTTTTTCAAGAGTAGATTTCACAAAACAGATCCTTGGCATTATGAGGCTAAAAAAAATTAAATAAATAAGGTGCTCATTTCTAGCAGTTACCTGATTCCCCTTATTATGTAAGGTTTTCAAACAACAAGAATTACCTGTCCAGAATATCAGTGTCATGTTACATATCCTATGAAAACCATATTAAATATTGATTAGTGAAACAGTCAGTAGTATACAAACCAGTCAAAGTCTTTCACATTTTTGAATAGTGAAAACTAGCTTTTGTAGTTAGAACACACCAGACAACAGGAAAGAGGCGTAAGGGAAAACATCAACACAAGTCAAGCTAAGCACCAAATCCCAGTCAAACCAAGTAAGAAAAAAAGGCTTCAAAAACAACCAATTATACATTGTTAGTCAAATGTAGTTAATGATAACTTTTGAGTGTTACAAATGGGTTCTGAAAAGATAAATTCACTAAATTGGCATTGTTAGTCAAATGTAGTTAATGATAACTTTTGAGTGTTACAAATGGGTTCTGAAAAGATAAATTCACTAAATTGGCTTTCCTTCTACTTAGTCATACAAGTAGGATAAAAAAACCACAAAGTATGGGACTTGTTTCTTAAAATAAATAAAGCTGAATTCACAAAAGCTAAAAATTAGCAATCAAGAGTTAAAAGCTGAACAAAAGTACTGTGAGAAAAATAAAAAAGAAAAAACAAAAAAACACAACAGAAAAAGGAGAAGCGTATTGTATTACTAAACTGTATTCATTAAGGGTGGCAGTTCTCAAGTACCGTATTATTAAAAAGTGAGCTTATGAGACATATTGAGCTATTCTGCTGAATTGCTTTGGAAAATGCTACATTTGCATAGTGTTCTTCACACAGTAATCTGTCAAAGCCTCAAGAGAACAGTACCGAATGAATTTCTGAGAGTCAATCAGCAGAAGTAGGAGAGAAAAGTATGTCCTAGAAAACATCTAGACCACTGGTGATTACTACTTTTTGAATACAAAGATACTTCAGTATTTCAATTACACTGTTTAATTAAACTCAGAGCATATTTTACAGCATGTTAAATTAAAGTTCTGCCACCTACCTTTCTGTAACAGATGTTACCATGTATTCGGTCGCAGGAAATATTTCATCAGAGTAACAGTAAAGAGCAGATGTGTAACCAATTATTGTTCTGTTTGCTACAACAGAGAAATGGCACCAAACAGAAGTGCACACACTGGTCTTACTAGACTTCAAAATTCACTGCAGCCATCAACTAATTCTACTTGCCTACTTCTACTCTTAAACACGGAACAAGCAGACTGCTGAAAGGAGAATTCCAGAGGTATATATGCTGCTGAAGCCAGGGAGAAAAATCTCTTAAGAAGTGTCAGAGCAGACAGAATGGCTACAGTATTGCATTTCCTTTTTTGTTCATTCAGGACAAGACACAAGTCTGTAAACGGAAAGCATCTGGAAGCTTCAGCAACACATCTTACCCACAATCTCCCTGCTCCATTTTGTTTAGAGTTTAGCAATAGTAATACTTACTATTTAAAGAATTGCGTAAAAAAAAAAAAAAAAAAAAAAAAAAAAAAGAAACAATTTCACTGTATTTCTGTGTGCTCTTAAATCTCTTAGACAGTCTTGGGTCTCACTTTCAAATATGGTTTAGAACAAAATTTCAGTGTATACTACATAATCAACAAAGGCTTTTTACAACTGTTATTATTGTCCTGTGCAACATTAAAACCTTAAGATACAAAGATGCCAATTAACACGGGTTGGTTTTGTTCCACAAAGCGGGGAGGGAAAGGAGAAAGAGAGGAGAATGATTACAGTTAAGTTCTTAATTACATGTAACTCAGTTTGACAGCATTACTCATGAGTTAAGGGAATTTAAGTATCAACGTATGCCACTACAATTTTTATTAATATGCAAAGAAATCAAATTTAAAGGAGTAATACTTCCATTTTGAGGTCTTCAGCGAACAATTTGTTTGAAGGATGCTGTACATTCAAGTGCCATTAATTCAATGCAAGCGCCAAGAATACAGCACACCTGAGAAGGATCAGGCTAAACAGACATCTTCATAAGACTAGTTGTTTTGCTAAAGATAAATATTTAGAAAATAAAACTATTCCAGATCATCACAGATGATGCTAGAACCACTGATAAGTGTGCTTAAATCCACTCAAGCATTACAACTTTTTTTAGTAAATTTAGTGCAGCACACTTTCAAACAAAACTGGATGTTCCTCGAAATGTAAAAGGAGAAAGCATCCACCACTGAAAAGGTGACAATCTTCCTTCTACAGAAAGCATAGTAAAGAAGCTGCCCCAATGAATACTGAGTATGTTATACATCTGGAAATCAGTGATAAAAGCTTTAACACATTAGTAAGTACCTACTCCAAGCAATCTTCTAACATACCTCCAAGTGTAAACGCGCCCAGTTTTGCTGCTAAAGCTCTGATCTCCCTAATTCAACTATGTCAGCAAATACTGCAATCACACCAAAATGCAGTGCAGACCTAGCCTGCCAAAGTCTACTAAAGCAAGAAACAATACTCCTAGGCATACACATTTATTTAAACTAATATTAAACAACAATAATTCTCAAACGTGGATTAATTTTATTTAATTTTGAATATAGAAGAAACCTATCTAGGTCCACTAGTAACTGTCAGACCAAGATCTGTTAAGTGAATTCGCCAGTGTCCTGAAATCGTACAGCTTTCCTTTGAGATCTGTGCCACCTACGCTCGTTGAGTGTGCTTACTGTTTTAACTAGTCTAAATGGTACTCGGCACAATATAATCTTACATTTAACACTAGTTAGTTACCTATGAGTATATACTGTACCTTGTTTTATTAACAGGTATTTATTAGATGGCTTTATTGAAGAGTTCAAAAGACAGCATCAGGTCCTGATATATTAATTACTGCTGGTTAAATCCTAAATTATGTTTGAAGACTACTCTATTTCCTTAGCTGTTTCACAGACGTGCTAGCTCCCATTCCTGTATTAGCAAATCCCTAATAGCCTAGAAGTAGTCTACATGTATGCACAGGTATGCAAATACAAGACCTGAGGGTGAGGAATCCTAAGGAAGTTCAAGAGCAAAGGTGGTTTAACCAGGTATTTATTTAAGGAAGCACTGCACCACATTCAGAGGCCAGAATCTTATTATGATAGTCTCTAAGCAAACAATATTTAGCAATTTATCTATTACATTGGTAGTAAGTACCTATTAGGCTTTTATGCAAGCAGAGTGACCTCTAATATCATTGCTCCTCATCTGGGAATATATTACTTGCTAATAAATTAGAATCTTGTACTGCTTAAGACATCAACAAAAGTAAGTAACATTGACACTAACTGTAAGCTTTAACAAGCTTTTCTGAAGCACCAGTAAAACACCTTTGTACAGCACGTTCTTGAAGCATTTCCTCATATGGCGTACCACAGGGAACTACCAAATCTTCCAATGGTACGTGTAGCAGCACTCCAAGTACCCAGTCCAACCATCCTGAAATGTTAAGTCTCAAAACAGTCAGTAAGCATTACTCGAGGATAAGAAAATAACAAATCACTGGCTTGTAAGGAGACCATCCCAATTCTTGTTTATTCCTCAAGTGGTCATACGCAGAGTACTAGCAAACTCTTCCCACAGAGGTTTGAAGAGGCGGCCTCTGCAACAAGGCTCTCACCCTGGCCTTCACCTCACAAGACATGCTACTAGTCTTAGCTCCAAGACTTAAGAATTCCATGACATAAAATGATCCCAATCTCATCTCAAGCATATAACACGCAATACCACTTAACTTCTCACTTAACACATACAAGTCGTAGCTTGCAATTTCTGGATTTTGTAGAAGCTCGCTCTTCTTTTAAGACACTATCTCCACAGTCACAGTACTTCGCCTGTGACCATATCAACACTCTCAAGGCTTTTAGTCCATAGAAAAGACTGCATCCTTTAAACAACCTTTAAATTTAAAATATCCTTTGAATTTAAAAGAAAGGTGGTGGAAGGGCATGCCTACATTAGAAAGAGTCTCAGTTTAGAAAGTTACCTTTAACGTGATGAGGGAAAAATGTACGTAACAACTGGCGTTAAAAAAACAAACAAAAAACCACAAATATTAATATTACAGTGGCCTCTGACTTAAATTCTAATATTCAGTGCAGGCCCCTTTTCTTAAAATAACTGCCCAAGTCCACAACACACAAAACTACATTTAAAGGTTATTACAAGAAGATACATTAGGGCTGACACATGCACACAAGATCTTATCTAATGTAAATTACTCATTAGAAAACATACTTGAGCATTCTTGAGGTTACCAGCTCACTTTCAAAAATATCACATATGAAATGCTAACAGCAGGCTTGCTTAGAAAACAGTTTCAGAAATTTGTTTAAGGAGAACTATACTGCTGGGATGTTGCAAAATGGGTGCCTGAACAATAGACATTTGTATAATTTCAAGGTGTACTCAATGACACTGAATCACTTTAAAGAAGCAGTTCCACTGGTTCTTTACATAAATCTTCCACGAATTACTGCTATAGAAAGCATGCTTTAAAATGCTGTAACGAAACAAACTTTGACAAGCTAGCTGTAACAAGCGGGATGAAAACACACAGAAGTTTCTCTTTTCGCACAAACATCAAGATGTCCTTGGACAACAGTTCAAGGTTTAACCCAAGAAAGTTCTCCTTGTCTTTGCATAAGCACGATCTTTTTATTTAATTTCCTTCTACAACTGAAACTTAACATCTACTCAACTTCTGAATACATTAAGTGTATTAATTCTCCCCTCAAATTTGTTTTCACCAGTTTTGCTCAGGAAAAAGAGAAATCCTGCAAATGGCCCTTTACAGACGTAACTTCTACCCATTTCGGGTGGTTTCAAGTCACACTCCCGCTGCCAAAGGCCAGACCTACCCTGTCCCACCACAAACAGCACTTCTCCTCCTCATGCAGTTGTACCCCACTTCAGGGAATCTGGGCGTTTCGTTTTTACTCCATTTGTACGTCTGTCAGAGGATCTGAACTCGACCTATAAGCTAAGGAGGTACTACACTGGGCTTGTCCTTAGGATATACAGTAGCACACAAAGTTAGCGAGCAGCCTCCTCTGCGAGCACCCTCGGCTTCACTGTCTGCAGACCTGGAACCATCCCCACAGCCTCGGGCTGGAAGCAAGCGTTAAAAAAAAAAACAAAACAAAACAAAAAATCCAAAAACCAACACACAGAAGAGGAAGAAAGACTTATTTTCGGTTATTTCAGTTTTTCAGAAAGAGCGTGCAAGTCATTTCACGCGGAAATAAACCGGAATAGGGCGGGCTGGGAACGGGGTGCCGATGCAGCAGCCCCGCTTTGCGCCACGGGCCTGGCGAGGCGGCAGCACCGCGCTCCCCCCGAGACCGGCGGCCCGCCCGCCCTGCGCCCCTGCCCTGCGCCCCTGCCCCCGCAGCTCCCCCCGCAACGTGCCCGCAGCCCCTCGGGGGAGTCGCAGCC